AGGGAAAGTAAGAAATCCCCCTTCAGGAGGGATAGCCACTCTGCAATCTCTTCTCCTCCAATCTCCTTCTAAGATTTTGGGTACTCATGCACATGATTTCCAAGCCGCAGGTCTGGGACTTGAAGTACAGTCAGCCATGTGGGAGTCCAGCACTTTAACCACCATGCCACCTGCTGGACCCAGTTATTGATTTATTCTCACTCTAATTTTACTGTCTATAATTTAAGAAGATGCTTTGTAAGATATTTCTCTCTTAAATTGATTGCGTTTAAATTTGTGGACTTAATATAACCTATCCTAGAAAAAAATCTCAAGTGCACTTGAGAAGAATGTGTCTTCTTTGGTTGTTGGCTAGAGTGCTCCGTGTGTATGTGATAGAGCGACTTGGTTTGTTTTGTCATTCAAGTCCTCTGTTCCTTTACTTATCTTCAGTCTGGTTCTTCTATCTACTATGGAGAGGTGGGTACTGAAGTCTTCCACTATCACTGTAGAACTACTTATTTCTCCTACCAGTTTCATCTATTTCTGTTCATTTATTTCCAGGTGTGTTATTAGGTGTATAAATGATTATAATTTTTATATTGTTTTGTTATATTAAACCTATTTATAGTGTTCTTTGTCTCTTATCCTTTTTATGTAAAGTCTACTTTTGTTCTGTTAGTATATCCATCCTTGCTCTTTTTATTATTTCTTTTTGCATACTCTTTTGACTCTCCCTTTTAAGTCATTTGTGTTTATGGATCTAAAATGAGTCTTTTGGGGTTGGCAGGTGGCATGGTGGTTAGGGGTGCTGGACTGCTACATGGCCGACCACAGTGCAGGCTCCAGAGCTGGCAGCTTGCTTTCTCACTTTCCCTCTCTTTCACACTCTCGTTCTTTCGTTCTGTCTCACTCTCTGATCAAGTTAAAATGAAGGAATGAACGAATGAATAAATAAATAAATAAAGTTAAATAAAATAATTCTTTTTTTTTTTTTTTGGAGAGATTTTCACTGTAGGGCGCGTGCGCTCGCCAGACAGAGAGAGACATAGAGACAGAAAGCGAGAAATCACCCCCCAGGGGGGATGGTCACGCCGCAATCCCTTCTCCTCCATTCTCCTCTCGGGATCTTGGGCACGCATGCACACACGCCCGGCGTGAGTTTTAAGCCACCAGGTCCGGGACACGAACCGCGGTCGACTACGTGGGAATCCAGCGACATAGCCATTACGCTAACTGCTGGTTCCCAATAAAATAATTCTTTAAAAAAATTAGTCTTTTGTGGACAATTAGGTGGGTCACATTTTTTCAGTTCTGCCACTCTCCATCTTTTACTCAATTTAATTCATTTATACTGAAAGTAATTACAAGGTGCAACTTTCATCATTTTGCTCTTTTATATGCATTATAGCATTATCATCATTCATTTCCTTAGTTACTCTGCTCTTTTATATTTGTAGTAAAACATCTGAATTCCTTTCTCATTTTCTTTTGTGTATATTCTTTCTTTTCTCACAGTTCTGGAGACTGTTAAGACTAAGACCAAGGTGCTTACCATAGGGATTAATTTGGGGGGAAGGTTTGTCGTGGGGTGCATGCACTCACCCAGAGACATAGAGATGAGGGGAAAGTGAGAAATCACCCCCTTTGGAGGATGACCACACCACACTCCCTTCTCCTCCGTTCTCTTGGGATTGTTGGGCGCACACACACATGGGCTCTTGTTTTTCTTCAATATTTTTCAGATTTGTCTCAGACTTTCAATTTTTCTATTGTCCTCTCTTCAAATTCACTGGTTCTTTCTTCTGCCTGATAAACTCTACTCCAGTTCCAATTCAGGAACTGAGTTGGCCAGCACCTCGGTCTTAGTCTTAACAGTCTCCAGAACTGTGAGAAATAAGTCCCTGTAGTTTAAGCCAGGCTATGATATTTAGTTACGGCAGCCTAAGACAGGGACTCGAAACCCTCCCTCTCAGCAGTTGACAAGAAAAAGCAGACACAAATATCAGTAAAGATCCAACTATGTGAAAAGCACAACTAACAAATTTGGTATAGACCACGTATTAAAAGTCCTGCACTTGACAGAAAAAGAATAAAAGTTTTTTTCAAGTACATGGACATGAGTGTGGAGTCAAAGAACAAGTTTTGAAGGACTGAAAGCCCTAACAGTTTGTCTCCTGGCCACAGTGGAGTTGCCTAGAGATCAATAAGAAAAGGTAACTAGAAAATCCCACCTTGTGAAATTGAGTCACTTCTAGATAACCCATGGCTTAACAGAAGAAATGTAACAAAAATTATATTTGAAAGTATGCGATATTGAAAATACATCAAAATCTATTTTTGCATCTTGAGCAATTTTAGAGGAAATTTGGAGTTTTTAATGCATGTATCAGAAGTAAGAATGGTTGAAAACAACAATTTAAGTTTCTACCTCATAGGGGAAAAGACTTAACCCCTTCCTCACATCAATGACAAGGGTGGAGTGCTGTCCTACACACAAAGATAAAAAAACTTGTTATATTGGGCCAAGTAGGTGGCATGCTAGTTAAGGCACTGGATTCCCACATGGCCAACCATGGTTTGAGTCCCGGACCTGGAGGGTTAAAAATCATGCTGGGTGCATGTGTGTGCATGCCTAAAATCCTGAGAGGAGAATGGAGAAGGAATTGTGGTGTGGTCACCCCCCAGTAGGGGGTGATTTCTCATTTTTTCTGTCTCCAGTGAGCACATATGCTCTATGGAAAAAAACTAAAAAATCAATGAACAAACAAAAAACATAAGCTACAAAAGAAAATACAACATCAAGCTGAAAAACATAAAATTTAAGAACGTCTACTCATCAAAATACTCTTACTAAGAGAGTGAAAAACAAGCTGCAGAATGAGACAGTCACAAAAATATTTCTGATAAAGACTCCTAGCCAAAGTATATCAAGAACATCTACAAAATCAATTGGAAATAGACAACCCTAACAGTAAAATGGGGCTCTTCCTTTCTCCGCCACTGTGGAATGTGCGGTCCACTTGGTTCTTCACCATGTATTCTCACAAGACTTTCAGAATCAGCCGGTTTCTGGCCAAAAAACAGAAGCAAAATCGTCCTATTCCCCAGTGATTAGAATGAAAACTGAAAAAAAAAAAAAAAATCAGGTACAACTCCAAGAGGAGACACTGGAGAAGAACCAGGCTGGGTCTATGAGGAACTGGACAGGATATGGGCCACACATATTTATGCTGTACCAAGGTCACTGTGGTCTTGCCACATCAAGCTGAAAATGGTCACCACTGCCTGGACACTTGGGGGTGTTTTATGGGAAAAAAATGAAAAAAAAAATCACTTTGTTTCTAAGTTCTGCACTAGTAGGTTGGTTCAGACCTTAAAAACAAACAAACAAAACAAACAAATAAAAACAGTAAAATGGGCAAAAGATCTGAACGTGCACTTCAAAAAATAGGATATATGAGTGTCCAGTGAATATACAAAACTGCATTAGATATCAGACAAATGCACATGAAACACATACATCCACCAGAACAGGTCATCAAATAAAAAACAATACTGGATGTTGAGACCAGCAGAGAGCATAGTGGTTGGCCACAAGGCCAACCATGGTTTGAGTCCCAGACCCAGCAGCTTGAAATTCACGCTGGGCATGTGTGCCAATGTGCCCAAAATCCTGAGAAGAGACTGGAGGAGAAGAGAGTGCAATGTTCCATCCCCCCGTGGGGTGATTTCTCACTTCCTGTCTCTCTTCTCTCTCTCTCTCTGTTTCTCCAGCAAGTACACACACCCTATAGCAAAAAAACTCTCTTAAAAAAAAAAAGAGGGACCAGCAGTTGGTGTAGTGGCTATGTCGCTAGACTCCCATGTAGTCGACTGTGGTTTGAGTCCCAGACCTGGTGGCTTAAACTCATGCCAGGCATATGTGCGTGTGTGCCCAAGATCCCAAGAGGAGCATGAAGGAAAAGGGATGGCGGCATGGCCATCCCCCCAGGGGGTGATTTCTCACTTTCTTTCTCTCTGTCTGTCTCTGTCTTTCTGGCGAGCACACGCTCTCTATAGCAAAAACCTCTCCAGAGAAAAAGAAAGAAAAGAAAAAGGAAAACAATACTGGGTGTTAAGTAGGACATGGAACACTATAACACTCATGCATAGCTGGTAGGGGTGTACAATTACTTAACTTTAATAACCTGATAGTATCTAGTATAGTGTATACCCAAGAGAAATGTGTACGTATGTGTACCAAAGGACATATACAGAAATGTTCACATCCTCACTGGTCATGATTGCTAAACCTACAGACTAACCCAAAGTGGGGTAAGATAGGTAAGTTGTAGTAATTCACACGGTAGAAACTACACAACAAGAAGAAAGTTAACTATTGCCCATAATTCACACATGAATCTCAGGCACATAATATTGAACTGAAAAGGGAAGACACAAAAGAATACTCAGTGTACGATCCTATACATATAATGCTGAAAACCAGGCAAAAGGAACCCATCACACTACAAGTCAGGGCACTACCCTGGATGGGGGCACTGGAAGAGGCATTGGGGCCTCTAGTGTGTTGACACGTCTTGGCCCGGGCGCGAGATACAGGTATTTCTATTTAGTAGAAATTCTGTCTGTATACTCACAACTAGGGCAGGTTTCAGTTTACACATCTGTACAATTTTCCAAAAACTCAAAACAATACAAAAAAAATAGAAATTATAAATGTGTATCTGATATGGGAGTTTCTTCATAATGTTGAAAAAAGGTTATGAGGCAATGCATATAGTATGATCTCATACTTCCAAAAAATAATGTCTATGCACAGAAATAGGTTACACAATATTTATTCATTAAAAAATATTTATTGAGTATATGCTATGTGCCAACACACAATGTACTCGGAAGACGTCTACGCACCTGCTCTACCCCATGCAGAGTCCCGCCGTGTGCATCACCACCTCAGCTCTGACACTGAACCACAGTGGCTCGGCAATACCTCCCACCACCACCCCGCAGAGCTCCCCCACCTGCAGAGCTCTGTGCAATTCTGCACCCCGCAGGTCGAGCAGATGAGGCAACACAGAAAGGACACCACTAACACATGATGCGTGAAGTCACCGTCACAGGGTACACAGGCTGATGTGTGTGCGTCTTACGAGTTTAGAACTAGGCCTAGCTGGGGAACACTGAGCCATAACCCACTCACAGCTGGCACTGCAGGCACCACTGGGCAAACACCTGAAAACAAGCTACTTCTAGTAGACAGACACTGGGCACGAGGGTGGCAACAGGGCTCTGTGAGGGATAAAGACATCACCTGCTGGGCTAGGGTGGGGCCAAAGCAGAGTGAATGTTCGTGAACTGTCCTGGAGTGGCGTCAGCAGCCTGGTGCGCCTTGACTCACTGTTTTCATCCCTCAATACACTCACACTGCTTCCTACCAGAATACTGACTGTCATCTCCAAATGGGAAAGACTTTTTCTCCAACCTAGAAAAGAGAACAGAAAACATCAACTAAATAATGAATTATTTCTGTTTGACTGGATGCAGTATTTCCCAATAAGAATAGCACTCAAATGCATAGTTTTAATATAAACATTTAAACGTTTAACATAACCACAAAGCAAAGCACAAAACAAGTACTGAAAAATAAAGCAAATTCATTTGATTCTTTTTCTTTTCTCTTTCATATTAACTTTGGTTCAAAAACTAGAACTGCATTTTCAGGAGACTCTGAGAATGAGGCCTGTGGCAGGGCTGGGTCCCAGCCAGTCTCTGACCTTCTGGGCAGCCAGCCGGGCGCTCTCCATGTGCTAAGATCAGAACCTGCATCTGGTCTCAGACACCCAGAGAGCCAGGAGGCTTGCAATAAGGGATGCACAGTGTGTTTGTGTTTCTCTCTCTCTCTCTCTCTTCCTTTCCTTTCTTTTTTAAAAAGATTTCTGCTATAGGGTGCATGTGCTCGCAGAAGAGACAGAATGTGAGAAATCACCCCCTGGGGGGTATGGCCATGCTGCAATCACTTCTCCATTCTCTTGGGATTTTGGGCACTCCTGCACACATGCCCGGTGTGAGTTTTAAGCCGCCAGGTCTGGCAGCCGAGTGATGTAACCATTACGCCACCCGCTGGTCCCTGGGATATGTGGTGTCTTGGTCTGTGGCTGCAGAAGTCTTGGTCCCTGCTTAGTGACTCGCTGTGTCACCTGAGGAAGTGACCAATCTTCTTGAACCCTCCATCTCCTCATCTGTGAAATGAGGAACAAAGCTAAGGAATGCATCTACTTCCTGTAGGAGGATTAAATAAAATGATGCAGAGGAGCATGGATGCAGAGCCTGAGCCTCTGCCATTGCATTGCATCCCTGAAGCCCTGCACACATGGGACAGAATTCACAACTGGATGTCTTACTCTCTGAGATGAGGGATCTTCTCTGGAAGTGACGGCCCAGCTTAGAGAAACCGACATGTGCCTTCTCCATACTGGGTTTCTTTGCAACACAACTGAACCCGTGACTACATCTCCTGTGTGGACAGGGACTGGATCATCCATCATGAACAACGTCTGCTTCCAGTGGGTAGTTCTGCAAGACAGGGAAGCATGGCAGTTGGAAGCCTGGCGTGGCCCGGGCACTGGCCTCAACACCCACCACACCGAAAGTAGCCCATGCCCTCAGACAGCCTCCAGTGCTCCCTGGGACCCCACCCATGAGCTTGACCTTCCAGGTTAGCATATCCATAGCCTGGGACCTAACGGATCTACACAGGCACTCTGGAGCCAAGTGACAGCTCAGGTCCATGAGAAGGTGAGGCTAGTCCTGAGTGCTCAGAGCATGCAGGGCCCCTGCATGGTGCCTGAGTCCCAGCCCCTTCCAGCACAGCAGTGCCCACCCAGGCACTATGTTCCTCTGAGCAGCTGATGCCGGGGTCTGGTTACTGCAATTGGTGTGTAAGATGCTGACAGAATCAGAGCTGAAAGTCATTTCTGTGAGAGACACATGTAATGTGAGCAAGGTCGCCTTAACATTTGGGGGACAGTAAAACTTCAGGGTCTACACTCACTGTCCAAGAAAGGGCTCTACTTTCTTTTATTTTTTTCTAATTATCACTTTTTTTTTGGGGGGGGGGCTTTTTGCTATAAGGCGCGTGTGCTTGCCAGAAAGATAGAGAGAGGCAGAGAGAGAGAACACAAGAAATCACCCCCCAGGGGGGATGGCCACGTCGCAATCCCTTCTCCTCCAATCTCCTCTCAGAATCTTGGGCATGCATGCACACGCGCCCGGCATGAGTTTAAGCCACCGGATCCAGGACTCAAATCGCGGTCGACTACATGGGATTCCAACGACATAGCCATTATGCCAACTGCTGGTCCCTGGGCTCTACTTTCTTTAGGTTTGGATACTCACGATCACCATCCATGCCTAGCCCAGCCTTTCCCCTCCACCTTACACTCTGGCTGTTCTCGTTCTTTCTCTGTCTCTCTCTCTCTTATTCTCTCTCTTAATTTACCATAGCTTTATTTATCTTTTCTCAATTTGCAAGAGGACACGTGTGTTCACCAGAGAGAGAGAGAAAGAGAGAGAGAGAGAAAGCATCCCCCAGCGGAGCATGGTCATTCTTTAACCCCTTCTCCATGTCCCCATCCTGTCAGGATTTAGAGCACGCATATGCCCCAGCATGTTGTTCAAGCCACAGGGGTGGGACTTGAACCTGGTCAGTCATGTGGCACCTGGCTCCTCCAGCCACCAGGCATCCCTGTCCTCTCCTGTTCTCTAGCAGACCTTCAACCACAGCCCTGAGACAACTTGAGGGTCATGAAGCCCATCTTGGCTCTGCCTCATGGACACTTCAGGGCCACCCAGAGCACCACATCACATCTCTGCCACCAGTGTCGTCTCCCCCTCCCAAGGTCACAATCAACAGCATCAAATCTGATGTTCTGATGTTCTCAGGGACCACTACATGGCGGTTACCAGCAGCAGGTCCTGGAAAGGGCAGAGACCCTGACCCTGACTCTGACCTGGTAAGGGCTTAGTGAGGGCAGGTCAGGGTTGCGCTGGGGATACACACAATTGGACCAGCCTACAGAACTGCTTGGACACAGCGCTGGCCTGATCTGTGCTTTGCACTGAGCCTCCTGCAGGGAGCTGGGTGGGGGTGGGGTGAGAGTGGAGGCCCTGTACACACAAAGGCCCGGGTGACCCTGTGCCAATTCCACCAGGTAACTCTGCAACTACTCCATTCCCCAAGCCCACCCCACGTCCCCACAACCAGGCATGTGCACTCACGGGTGGAAGGGGCCAGTGCTGAGCACCTGTGGTGGCTGCCCATCCTCCAGGCTCTGGAAGTGCACACTGAACCAGGCAGTGAAGCCATGCAAGGTGCCCGCCTTCCGGATGTCAAAGCACAGGTCGCCTCGCATGGTCTGGTTTAGCACAGCAGCATGTATGTGGGAGGAGGTAGAAGAGATAGAGGAGAGTTAGGAGAGTTCACCCGCCTGCAACAAGACCCCAGAGCTCCCCCTGGGAAAGTGACCAACTCTGCTATGTACCAGAAAAAATTTCAGCAATTGTGTTTCCTCTGCCTAGTTTTCTGACCCCGAATTTCTGTGTAGTACTTTCTGTTCAGGGTCTGTGTTTGTTTTATAAATGAAATACAAAGGATGCTGTGGGTGGAGTCTCCCCAACACCCACACTCACAGCCTAGTATATATTGCTGCCCTGGACATGTGGGCCACCATGTGGCCACACTCAGTAATTAGGGGAATGAACTAAGAATTTTGTCATCAATGGTACCTACAAACACTTGAAAAAATTTTAATTAAAATACCATGATGAGGGACCAGCAGTTGGTGTAATGGTTACGTCACTGGACACCCACGTAGTCGACCGTGGTTTGAGTCTTGGACTCAGTGGCTTAAACTCATGCTGAGCACATGTGCGTGCATGTCCAAGATCCCGAGAGAAGAGTAGAGGGGAAGGGATTGCAGCGTGGCCATCCCCCTTGAGGGGTGATTTCTCACTTTCTGTCTCTCTTTGTCTTTCTGGCGAGCACACGCATCCTATAGCAAAAACATCTCAAAAAAAAAAAAACATGATGAAGGGAAAAGTAATTTAATTGATTTTCAAAATGCTGAAGATATTAAACATAAATACAAAAATAACTAAACAGGCTAACAACTGACTATAAGAAAAAGATGCAAAAACTATGGAAGATAAGCAGAATGGGACATAAAAGACTCGGAAACATCAATAACAGAACGGTTTTTTAAAATAATTGTTTATTATTATTATTATTATTTGATTTGCTATAGGGCACACATGCTCACTGGAGAGAGAGAGAGAAAGTGTGCAAGCAAGATGCCAGGTCTGGGACTCAAACCATGGTCAATCATGTGGAGTCCAGCACCACAGCCACTATGACATCTGCGGGCCCCAACAAAAGGTTTATATTAAATTCACATATTTGTATAATAAAACAGTAATACACACAGCATGAAGTGATGATAAGTAACATGCCAGTCCAGTTCTGGGTTTTAATAAGCACCAATTTTCAATGAAAGGACACAATCTATATTTCTTACCTCAAGATCAGAGATTTGCACAGTCCTCATGTCCAGCTGTAATATTGTGCATGGTTCAGAGAGACAGTCTTCTGGTTTCAATATGTGGTTATACTTAGGCTTTGAAAAAAACTCCTTAATTGCTAGAGATCTAGGGAAAGGGCCAAAATCATTGTTCAAAGTTCTCACAAACACCTTAGGCTCTGAAACACGTGTGACGACAGTAAATGCTTTTTCTCTTCTGCATTAACGGGAGTTCTAAACCACCCTCAGTGACCCTCCCTGATTTGCTGAAAGGAAGGGCTGGGGAGCTCCACCCCAACAACCCTGGGCCCTCCCTTCCTAAACAACCAGCCCCTATCTGGCAGAGCCCACATGGGTATCCGAGGGCCTTCCTAAGCCTGTACCTGGACAGTAACCCGCGAGGGTGCGAAAGACTGAGGCGTTTCCTTTTTATGTCTTATTCTTGAAGACCTGAGCACATGAAAACTGACATCCACCATGTAACCAAGAAACACAGGGGCTACAGTACATTTTTAGCTTTAGAATCTAGTTTATTTTAAAAGACCTTCTGTGGATCTACTATTACACAACAGAAAAAAGTTATTCCTGGGGCTGGCAGGTGGTGCAGTGGTTAAGGATGCTGGACGTTGCTGACCATGGTTCAAGTCCCAGACCTGGTGGCTTATTTTCTCATTTTCTCTCTCTCTCTCTCTCTCTCTCTCTCTCTCTCTCTCGGTATTTCTCTCACTCTATCCCTCTCTGGTTGGTTGGTTACATACATACATAAAGTTAAAAAAAGCTATTCCTGCT